CGGCATGGGTGGGTGGGGCTCTGAGCGTGGCAAAGCCGCGCAGGTGGGTGGGGCCGTGTGAATTTGTGTGCCGGGCCTCTAGTATATGGTATAAAGTCTTTGGTAAGTCCAACATTTGTTTCATCTCATATTTGGTATCTGATTGTCCCTTTTGGGGGAATTGCTCATATTTTACAGATTTTTGGTGTATCAAGTAATTTCTTATTGTGTCATGGATAGTTTGAATATTATGTTGTGAGACTGTCTCCTGTTGAAATCCTCTGGAGAATGTTGACTTTTCTGGCTTATGAGGCATTAACCTGGTGGGGTTTAGGTTGATGTTTCTATCTGGATTTGTTAGGTGGTGGTTTTAGCATCAGTTCAGTTTTGACTTGGTACCCACTGTCTCCTCTCAAAGGATGCTTTTCCTGACTTCTCTGGCTGGAAGGAAGGAGGAAGGAATTCTCTAAGAATGTTAGTCTCTGTACTGCACAGTTTTTCCTGACTGGGGCTGTCATCAGGCCTAAGCAATGAGAGAAAAAAGAGAAAAAAATAACAAGGATTATCCCTACAGTCTTTACACAACAGGGTCCCCTTTGATTATTTCTCTAGTCCAGTGATGGCGAACCTATGACACGCGTGTCAGAGGTGACACGCGAACTCATTTTTTTGGTTGATTTTTCTTTGTTAAATGGCATTTAAATATATACAATAAATATCAAAAATATAAGTCTTTGTTTTACTATGGTTGCAAAGATCAAAACATTTCTATCTGTGACACGGCACCAGAGTTAAGTTAGGTTTTTTCAAAATGCTGACACGCCGAGCTCAGAAGGTTCGCCATCACTGCTCTAGTCAGAAGGATGGGTTTTCACTCAGGGTCTTACGTGTCCATGGTACAGCTGAAGTGTTGCTCCAAAGTCTGTCCTTGGAAGAGAAGCAAAAAAAAGAAAGAAAACTCTTGCCTATTTGTTTCCATATTCAAGGGCCATTTTCTAGTCAGAAAGTTGTAATTCCTTAGAGTTTTACTAGTCATGCTTGTTACTTATATCATGAGTCAGCTTTTCCTTAGGCAATTCCAAGAGGTAAAGGGCGGGGAGGGGGGCGGGGGGAGGGGCGGCAAGCGGGTTTGAATCCAGGAAACACGCTGTCAGCCTATGATTAGTCATTCTTCAGGTCTTGACTTTACACCCCAATCCACTTACTCTAATTAAATATTTTAGAATTCTCAGGTAGTTGCTTGTTTTTATTTTATTTCATTTTGTTTTCTGTAGAGTTTTTGTTATAAACAGTAGAAGAGACTAGAAGCCTCCCATTCTTTTTTTTTTGAAATAAATTTTGCTGGATATAGAATTCAACGTTGATAGTTGTTTTAAAAAGCAATGGAAAGAACCCATTCCACGTTTTCTGCTTTTCTCATATGTAGTCCTGTGAGTGTAATGTGTGTATATATTTCCCCCCTCTTGGCTGCTATTAAGGTTTTCTCTTTATCAGGGGTTTGGCTGAGTATGGAGTTTACCTTGTATAATCTGTTTCTTTTAAAGATCATAGCCTCTTATGTCTTTTCTGTATGGTGGAACTTTAGTGCTTTAAACAGTTGGTTTATACATTTATACAACTTTTCTTAATCGTGTCCTCACTGGTGTTGAAAGTTTCTTGGGTGGTTTTGATGTCTGTGTTAACTTATAAAATAAGTAAGAAAACAGTCTTTTTAAAAATGTTATTTGAAATACGATTCTTTTCTCACTCCTCATTTTTTTCCCAGTTATAACTATTTTAGACAGATGTAGAACCAGAAGTTTCACAAAAATTCCTATTGACATTTTTTCCTGTTAATTTTTAATACAAACACACACAGTCACATACTGTAGTAATGCCTACATTTATTCATGTTTTTAATGTTAAGTTTTTTTTCAAGCACAGCATTCCATTGCATAAACACACTATAGTTTATTCAGCTATTCCCCTGTTTTTGTTTATTTTGGGTATTTTTGTTTTATAATGACCATTTTCTGGTGATTATAAAAAATCTATGAACGTTTATGTACATGTTTTTTTGTGTACCTAGGGAATATTTTTTGGGTCTATATTCAGGAGTGTAGTTGCAGGATTATAGGTAGATTCATGTTTAACATAATAGGAATTATCAAACAAATTTCCTAAGTGGTTATTACTGTTTTACACTTCAATCAGCAATAAATGAGAGTTTTAGTGCTCCATTTTTTTTGTTGTTGCCAACTTTGGTATTTTAATTTTTATTATTCCATTATGTGTATTATTCCATTATGGTTTAATTTTCCATTTCTTTGATGAGTAATGACATTGAGTATCTACAATTATTGGCCATTTGGCATCCTCTTTTATGAAATACCTGTTTAGATTTTTTGGCATTTAAAAAATTGGGTTGTTAGTTTTTAATATATTATAAGGAGCTCTTTTTAAATGACTTGTTTTTAATCTTGATGTAATCAAATTTAATTTTTTCCTAAAGGTAATACTTTTTTATTTCCTGTTTAAGGCACTTTTACTTATGTTAAAGTTGTTCTTCTGTATTTAATTTTAGCAGCATTATTAATCCTCACATTGAGTGAATTTTTTGAAGGTTCAAGGTTTATTCTTATGTTGCATACTTTAGAAAACTTCACCAATCTTATTTATTGACACAGGAGTATTTTTTTGAATTTCATTGTTACTTTTGTTCACAAGTTAAGTTTTGTTGTCTATATGTGGGCTTTCTCTGGTCTTTCTGTTATATTTATTTACTTTGTCCTTCCTTACTCCAGTCCAGTATCAACTGACTTAAATTACTATTGCTTTTCAGTAAGTCTTTTAATCAGGAAGTGTACAGACTAGATCTTCCAGGTTATTAACTTTAATGGCAAGCTATTAAATCTTGATATTTATATGTCAGACAGATATGACTAGCTTTCACTTAAAAATGTTCTTTTCTCTGAAAAATCTAAAAACCAGAATCTAACAATAAGTATGTGTATATATATATATACACACACACAATAATACAGATACCCACTAAAAGTGTGAAACTTTATTGAATCTTTTACCTATTTAATTAGAAAAAAAGATGATGAAGTAATCCTATTAGATGGCAATGTTAAAGACTGATCATATTCAGTGTTTGTGAGGTTGTGAGAGAACAGGCATCCATGTACATGGTTGGTAGTGTTGTAAATGGGATCAATGTTTTCTGGAGGATTATTTAGCAGTGTGCATCAAAATAGAGAGCCAGGACAGTGGAAAGCTAGGACAATTCCTTGCAAGTGGAACGGGGAAACTGAGACAGACAGCTGAATGAACTGGTCTGAGCACTTTACAGCCAGATACGGAAAGTCCCCATGGCCGAAAGCCCTAGGTGTGGCTTAGACCCCCTGACCTTTCCTCCCTAGAGATAACATCCAGGCCTCCATTTCAGCTCCAGGCCCAGAAAATCAGCAAAACCAGGTGGGTGACGCCAGCTGCAGTGAGTGACTAAGGCGCTGACCAGTCAGCAGAGACCGTGACCTTGATAGAGTACCTGTGGAAAGCAGCCCCACCTCGTTTCTCTCCTGTTGCTTCTTCTGTCCTAAGTCCTTCCTTGTGTCACTGTCCCAGCTTTCATAAACTTACTCTCAAAATCACCCGTACTCGTGCTGTGAAGTCTTCCCTGCTCGAAGCCAAGAACCCACACACTGCAGGCTGGCCCGAGGCAGACCCGCTTCAGGCCTGATCCCCACCTGGTCACAGCAGTAGTAGTGCTCCCACATGTCCAGCTTGACCAAGTAAAGCTGCAACTTTCACAGATGCAGCACAGTACTGCTAACTATAGTCACCCGGGTGTACGTCACTTCCCCATGGCTTCTTTATTTTGTAACTGGAGGTTTGTGCATTTTGACCCTGTTCACCCATTTTACTCACTCCCTACCCCCCTGCTCTGTCAAGCATCAGTCTCTTCTCTGTATTTATAAACTTTTGTTTTTTGGTCTATATTTTTAGATGCCACATATAAGTGATATCATGTGTTTGTCTTTCTATTTTTATGTATAGATTTTAGAGAGAGAGAGGAAGGGAAAGAGAGGAATATCAGGTCGTTGTTTCACTTATTTTTGCATCATTGGTTGATTCTTGTATGCATCCTGACCGGGATCAAACCCGTAACCTGGGAGTATAAGGACGATGCTCAAGCAACTGAGCTACTGGCCTGGGCTTGCTTGTCTTTCTTTATCTGATGTATTTTGCTTAGTGTAATGCCCTCAAGGTCCAACCATGTTGTCACAAACGGCAAGACTTCTCTTTTTATGGCTGAGTAGTATTCTGTTGCATATATTTACCACATCTTCTTTGTGAATCTCCTCTTAACTCAATTTAACTGCTCACCCCATATTATTCTCCCCTGTTGCATCAGGTGGCATTGGCTATACTAATTAAGGTTACAAATCATGGATAATATAGCATAAATGTTTTTTATAGATTTTTGGATTTGCTATTTATTTTGTTCAGAGTATGAAGAACCTTGCAGTTGAATGTGTCACTAGAGTTAAAAAATCACCACATGAAAACTGTGTCAGATGAAGGAGTAAATTTGGAAGTATGACATAGATGTCACTTTCAACTTCTGTTGTGAGAAATGCATGTTGTCATCTCCTAATTATGTTCCCATTACCATTTTACCTTTTATTAATCATTGTAACCAAGGTTACTTTATTCCACCAACTCCCTGGGGAGGTTTAAGTATGTGTGAGACACATAATAGCTGATTTTGAAATCTGAGTATAAGAGCATGAAAATTCTTAACAGAACATTTTTTCTCATACTGTAAAGTTAAATATTTAAATTAGGTGAATATTTTTTTCTTATTCTTAATTAAAACTCAGTAAATTATCATTTTAAGAAGAGATTATTAAATCAGTATGTATTGCTCTTGGTACAGAGTCAATAGAATCATTAAAATGAACCATACTCTGTTTTTTAAAACATACGGGTACTAAAGGAATAGTCATAAATCTTTTTTCTTTATTATTTTTAAGGCAAGAGGAGCAGATGTGCCTGAGATTCCTGGAGACCTTAGCCTTAAGACATGTGGCAGTACAGCTAGTATGAAGGTTAAACACGTGAAAAAGTAAGTATAACTTTACTGCAGTTTTGAAATGAATTCCTATAAATGGAAATGAGTTCTTTACTTTAGTTCTGTTAAAACCTTTATTTAGATTTCTTACTAAATAAGCTGTTACTGTCCATACATTAAACTGTAGTGTTAAGCCTTAATTTATGACTCAGCAGTTAGTGGGCTAGGTTTGAAGACTAGCTCTGGTCTAAAAATACACTGTAATTTTGTTCTTGCAGTTTTATGTCATTGTCTATTAGACTGCATTTGTTCAACAGGAAAAAGCCAACTATGTCCTTCTTGGTACCTTTAGTAGGTGTTCTCACCCATTTAGAAAAATCGAGTTTGTTGTTTGAGTTACGAGAATTGCTCTATCTCAGCTTCACCTTCACAAGGGTAGGGAATGGGTGCCAGAAGTTGACTCTCAAGTGAAATATCTTTAGGTATCTGTTTCAGTTTTGAGCAGAAAAACCACCTTGTCAGCTGGTAGAGGGTTAGATAGCTGTGTTTTCATTGCGGGTATAGAAAAGACAAGGATAAAAATGTTCATTCTGCATCCAGACCCACCAACCCGGGACTGATGGGCTGCGACAACATGCACAGGTAACGCCTGGCTTTGTGTTCTGTGGTGGGAATGCTGCTTCTGGCTAGAAGCTGGCTCGTCTCAGTTTCCATAACATTCACCGACAGCATAGTTTTCCCGTGGGCACTGACTTGGGACACGATGAGGAGAGTACAGTGATGCTTTTTAATTTTTGTTGTTGTTTTTTGACCCGTGCAGTCCATGTAACTTTCATTGGATTCCGTGTATTTCTGAAAGGGTGTGTGTGGGTATATGTGTGCTCATGCGCATGTGCTTATTAAATAAACTATTAAATAGTTTGCTTGCATGAGCTCCTAAACCCGTTTTATTTTCTCTTGGTGCTTAGCAGTTTCTTCACTGTTTCGGTGTCTTGTATCTCACTGATTTATCTCATGTGCTTCAGGTTGCCCTTCACCAAAGGCCACTTTCCGAAGATGGCCGAATGCGCACATTTCCACTATGAGAACGTCGAGTTTGGCAGCATACAGGTATGTTTGAAGTGGTTCCTACAGGCTGAGTTAAGTTTGTTATTCACGACTCTTTTTCAGGACTAAACCAGGCACATATTCGTTTCAGGTATGCAAACATAGTGATTAGACATTTATATAACTTACAAGTGATCACCCCAATAAGTCTAGTACCCATCTGACACCATCCGTAGTTATTACAATATTATGTTATTGTGTGTTTTTTTAAATACAAATAAGTGGCTCTTTTTTTTTTAATATCTCCACAGGAGGATAATTTTTTCATTGGTTTTTAGAGAGAGTGGGAGGGAAGGAAAAGGAAGGAAAGAGAGAGAGAGACATCAATGTGAGAGAGGCACATCGATTGGTTGCCTCCCACACTTGCTCCAATTGGGGGATTGAACCTGCAACCCAGGCATGTGCCTCAACTGGGAATCGAGCCCACGACCTTGAGTTGCAGGGATGATGCTCCAACCAACGAGCCACACTGGCCAGGGCTATGCTGTTGTTTTCTAATCAGTGCATTTAAGTTTGGAAAATTTTCCCCTGAATAGTACATTGAACAAACTCTATAGGTTTTGATAAATAGTGTTGTATTATGTTTTGTTTAGAGAAATTGAAACCTCAGAGGAAAAAAAAAGATAATTTCTAGAAAGGACTTCTTGTTTTAAGTAAAACCATATATAGTTTTAGATTTTGTGAATTCATTATCTTTGTTGCACTTCTCTCTGTTGTATCATCTCCATTGTTCAAAAACTAAGATTTATTCAAATTTCAGAAAATGTTTTTTTCAGTAAGAAGGGAAATATCCCTTGTAACATGCAAATACCAGTAATCAGTTCATTCTGTTTTACCCATTTGAGGCCTTGCTCTCCTCCTGCTGTGGCTGGTGTGGTGCCGCCACCTAGTGTGGAGGACACTAAAACATTTGTGTGGTTTGCATTTCCTATTATTTGCTCATCTGAAGCTGAAATTAATGTTTCCTTTTTATCTGATTTCATATAAAGCATTGAGGTAAATTAACCTGAATCCAAGAGATCAGGTCTTACCTGAAATAAGACATAGGAAGTGTATGAATTTAATACCTATTTCTTGAGCATTCGCTGCTAAAGTTACTGTGCAAGGGCCTGGGAAATGCTACTGTTGCTTTCTATGATCAGGTACACTCTTGCTTTGATACTGAGAAATGTGGAAAGAGGTTGTAATGTTTGACCCAAGTGTGAAAATGCTGAGGAAAAATCATGTGAAACACAAATCCTGACTTTTCATTTTAAATGAAGTCATCAGGATTATGATAATCAAATACAAGCCAGTATTTATTGAATGTTTTCTGTGAGCCAGATTTACACTAAGTACTATTTGTATGTTGTCTGATTGAGTCTTCACAACAGTTTCAGACGAGGAAATCGAGGTAGGAAGAGTTTAAGAACTTACCTAAGATCACAGCCGGGAAGTGGAGGGGTCTGTGTGTGCATCACAGCCACGAGCCATTAACAGCCTGGGATGTAAGCATAGGGCTCTGGGAGAGAGAAAACTCTTCTCTGACCAGAGGGCTCTATTTGTAGGTTTGCTGTTCAGTCGTAACCCAGGTATCAAAGCAAGTCCTGACCACACAGAAATGTGGAAATGCCCATGAAGCACTCTTTTCCTGACGAGTGTATGTTCTGGAGTGAGCACCTGTAAGACAGGAGATGCGATTCTGCTAGTGTGTCATTCACGCTCACTTCCCATGTGTTCTGCATGCTGCGGGCATCTCACTGAGCTGAGGGGGATTCTAGTCCAGTGATGGCGAACCTTTTGAGCTCGGCGTGTCAGCATTTTGAAAAACCCTAACAACTCTGGTGCCGTGTCACAGATAGAAATTTTTTGATCTTTGCAACCATAGTAAAACAAAGACTTATACTTTTGATATTTATTTTATATATTTAAATGCCATTTGACAAAGAAAAACCAACCAAAAAAATGAGTTTTCGTGTCACCTCTGATACGCGTGTCATAGGTTCGCCATCACTGTTCTAGTGTCTGGAGATGAGCAAACCTGGTCGTCAACATAGGATCAGTGCTCTCTCCCAAGTCTGGAGGGAAAAGTGGACCATGAGGCTTAAGAAGATGCGTGTAGGTCTCTAGCTTTTCCCAAAGGAATTTGAAGTGCAGTTTTGTCTACTATTGATTTTTGCCTTATATGCTGAAATTAGAACTCAGTTCACTTATTACTCACCTAAAAGGCAACTCTAATATATATTCTTCCACTTGGCATTCTCGACTCAGGAGTTTTAAAGTAGTATTGTCACTCTTAATGTGTTAGGGTGTTGACGGCGGGCATGCGTGGACCACATAATATTGTGCAACAGAAATATTTTTCATGTTTCCACACCTCGTAGAGGCTACAGAGGTGAAATGTACGAACTCCAGAGGTATGTCACAGTGCAATTGCAACCGTACTAGAACTAAATAAAAGATGAATAAAAGGTCTCCCTTTACCCCATTTGAAATCTGTTGATTAGGCTTTGATGACCGGTATTTTTGTGGGTGGGGTGATGTATTTCTACCCTGACTTACAAAACTGATGTCCATGCTCCCTGTAGAGAAAGGACTTTTCTGAATATTGGAAGGCTTTCTGGATAGAGTTTTATTTTTAAAGATCCTAACAACACTAATTGCAGATTGGTTACCATGGTGATAGAAAAGTGAATTCAGTATAGAAAAATAACTCCAAAAATAGATTTGTAAGGAATCTAGAAGGATGGGACTTGGAAATTCTGTTCTCCCTTCCTTATAGACAAAGCACTGAGATAGCGTTACATTGAAGGAAGTAAAGATAATGTAAATTATTACGTTCATGTCATTCAATAGGCAAATGTAGCCCGATTGTTCATAATGTGTGCTCTTGGCACATGTGGTGTGGGTCCTGCATAAAACCTCGCCATTCTGACTTGTTCATAGGGTGTCTTAAAACCAACAGACAATTCATCAAGAGTGCTTTTCTTGAATACCTTGTATTCAAGAATACCTTAGGGGAAACAAGCAATATACCAGTACACCTAAGAAAAATGTAATACATATTGTGAGAGTGCTTGTATAGGCATTCAAAGGCAAGAGAAGTTACTTCCTGTGGCACTCAAGGAAGGCTTTATTGGAGCTTGAATAGATTTGGGATATGCAAAGACAGAAGCGCAGAGCATTTAGACAAGGAAAATTAGCTTAGACAAAGGCACCTGGGAGGGGAGGGGAGGGGATGAATGGGTTAGAAGGATTATGGGAAAACGTGGTTTCAAAGATATTTGGAGCAGTGCCTTTCTTCAAAGCTCATCTAAGCTTCTGGACTTTGCATTTAAATTACCTTCTTAGTAGGAATTGAGAAAGTATTGAGAGATTTTGAAAAGAAAGTACCATAATCAGTGTGCGAGGGAAATGGAGAGAGGCCAGTGGGAAGACTACTGTGAATGTCCAGTCTGCAATTGTCTAGCCCAGACACTGTGAGGCTCAGACCCAGGGGAGAAGCAGTGGAGAAGGGGAAAAAAGGAACAGGTGAGGTGTGAGAGGCAAGTTTTGGGAGACTAAAGAGCGAGATTAGGGAATCAAAGGTTGAGATCAGATCTTGACCCTGGGAATATAAAAAGAAAGGATATGTGGAGAGGCGGAGGGGTAGATGAATCGGGATGATTAGGTTGGTTAACAGTGAATGGTTATGAAACCAGACACAATGGGTCCAAGGCTGCCTGTCACTACTTGAGCCAAATTAAACAGAGACGGGGTTGAATCATATATGAGCGTTTATTCCAATACTGCCGGCAGCATGGGAGAGCAGTCGGTCACCCTGGAAATTCTGCTCTGACGCCCCTAGCCAGTTGGCTGATTATATACACACGAGGGGGAACATGGCTAGGTGCGGCTGTGAGCGTAACATGGAAAGGGGAGGGGAGGGTCTGAAGTTGGGCCTTCAGGAGCTCAAAGAACCATAACAAGGTGGCTAATCTATGATGCTACAAACAGCTCAGCCCGTTCCTGAGACTGGAGAATAGTCAGCATTCCTAGGCAAACTCCCGGAGGGAGTCAGGGTCCGGGCACAGCAACCAAATCAAAGCGTGTCCTGTCCTTGGTCTGTTCTCAAAATGTATTTCTTTTCTGAGTCATGGACCCATCGAGGCATCTTATCTTTCTACAGCCTTGTTTCATCCTTCAGTTTCCCGGGGCCTGTAAGAAAACTTCTCATCTATAGTTAGTAGGTGTATAGTTATTAGACAACTGTGGCTCCATTCTTATTACGTGCCCTTCTCCACCATCAGTTATGTTATGCTATTGATTTACTTGGGGAATTAAGGAGGAAGAAGCGAATATGTGAAGAAAGATGATGAATTTAGTTTTGAAAGTGAGTATTGCATTCCAGTGAGACCATGTTTGTTTATTCAGTCATTCATCAGATAATTAGTGACCCTTACTTAAATTCCAGGTACTTTTAAAGATGTTTGGGTTAGGCATATACCTATCTCATTTTTTCCTTATGTATGATAGTTTAAAAATCTGCCAAATGTGTATTACAAATATTTTTTATCCCATTTTGTAACGCATCTTTTCACTTGGTTTATGGTGTCCCTTTTGTGATAACTGTGAGGTTTTTGATGTAGTCAGTCTCTTATTTTTCCCTATCCGTGTTGCAGCTAAGACATTCTTCCCCAACTGTGGACATAAAGCTACTTTCCTGTATAGCTTTATGGACTGACCTCATGCACTTGAAGGAATAGCTGGGGAAATCAGTGGGTGGGCGGGCGTGGACGCTGGTACCAGGTGTTCCTTGCATTGTCCTTTATCACTGCGGGCCGCATGCAGCCAGTCAGGGTTTGGCTGGTTTCTCCTGACCCTGGCTGAGGCAGGTTCTAGATCCTCCTGTGCCTTTTCCAGGCTTCCAAACACATCCATGGACCTCTTGGGTCTCATGAAAGTCTTGTCACTTTCTGCAACTTCATTCATTCAGGTTTCAATTCACCCTTCATTTTTTTTTTTTCATCTAAAAAATCCCCTATGACTTTGTAGTTCATCTGATGTATTTTGGCTAATGTGAGAATGATTTTTATCTCTTATAAAGGTGTTTTTTTAAAAAAAACTTTTTGTGATACTGCTTTCAAAAACAGAGAACATATCTTCGTCATCCTTATATTTCTGATAACCTTAACTGTAATAATAGGTAACATTTATTAAGTACTCACTGAGTGCCAGCTGCCTCAGTGAGTACTTACTAACTGTTATCTCATTTAATACTCAAAACCTCGAGAATAGTTACTGTGACATCATCTCCATTTTCCAGGTGAGAGATTAAGTGGGGAGATCAATATTGCACAACCAGCTAGTGACGCTTTTGAACTCAGGGTTGTCTGACTCTGGCATAGAGTTTGCCAGTGCACATCCCTAGTTAGGGCAGGCAGGTAAGGTGAGTGAGCGCCGTGAGTGGGATAAGAAATAGCAAAGCAAGCAGCACGACGGATGACAGTTAACATCCAGCCTCGATGCTGGTGAAAAAATAAAGAGGAATCGATTCGGTGGCAAAGTCTCTTGGAGCCACATTCACAGGGGCCGGTCGCCTCTCAGCTCCAGCCAGTTGTTGCCCATGTGAGAATATGGGTCCAATACTTCAGATTTCCTGATGTTTCCATAGAAGCCTAGAAATTGTTTTTTTTTCTTCATATAAAACCACCCAGTTTCTAAATGCTGTTTTGTGGTTCGAATAAAAATAAAGTTCAGTGTGCAGACCTGCACGGTGAGTCTACAATGAAACGTATCTGGAGCCCACGCTGTTCTCCGGGCCCCAGTCTGCAGTGTCTGTAGCAGAGCTGAGCCCGGGTAAACCAGCTGCTCACCTGCCTCTCCGTGGCCCTGGAGCCTTCCTTCCCGCTGTGCTGTAAATAAGGGCATGGAGATCTGCCCTGGAGCGAATGTGTTTTAGTTGCTGCTGTTGTGCACGTGTTGGTTTAGCTACAAGCTACAATTCTCAGAATCACATGTTTTTTAAAATCTTGAATTCTTTATCTGCCTTCAAGTAGTAGAATTCTACTCTAAGGCACACCTCATTCCATCACGTTGATGTGAGAACGCCAAGTATTACTGAACGCTTCGTTTGTTCTTGTTCACTAATCACGGCTCTCCCTCTCTCTGCCCTTTCTTCTTTGCCTCAGCTCTCCCTTTCAGAAGAGCAGAACGACGTAACGAAAAACGGCTGTGAATCGAAAGAGCTGGTCTACCTCGTGCACATCGCCTGTCAGGTAATTTTGTGGATGCGTTCTCCGTTTCACATAAAATGTGCTAAGGATTGTTTTGAGCGATTGTTAAGTTCCTTTCTGTAACGCTTTTCTCATATTGCCTAATAGAATCTGCAGGAAAATACTTGTACAATATTGAAAGGGAATTGGACGATGAATGGCTATTGTTAAGAAAATAAATGGTATCCTCTAAAAAAGAGGAATCAATGTCTTTATACAGAATCAAGTGGAATGCACAGTTTAGTATGACAGCTCGCATATCTTCTCTGCATTTTCAGAAAGTTTTTAAGGCTTTCGACACCCGTGAATGCATAACAGTGAATATGGAAATACAGACGTTTTGTTTTCTTTCTCTTAGTCATTTTGGCACTTCTATATGTACTCAGAGTTGAAACAGTCAGTTTAAAAGAATCCGTTTTCTAGACATTTAATTTACAAACTTCAATGAAAATTCTTCTTGTAAGAGCGAGGGGAGTCTATTGTTTATGGTAAGATGCTAAGAGCCCACAAAATCATCTCTGCCTGAGATGCTCACATTTCTAACCAGGATGGTGAATTCCACTGTGGTGTAATAGTAGAATGTGCGCATGTTTTAGAACTGTGCTGGTTTTGACTTGCTTTTAATGAGATTTAAAATATGTTACATGTAGCATTGATTATTTCCTCTACCAACTAATCAGGTAATATAGTTTATTTAGTCTATGTTTATTGAGCCTTCTGCCTGTTTTCAAGCAAAAATTTCTTGTATACAAAGTTTTTCTTTTTCTTTGGGAGAGAGTACGATAGGGTCATTTATTTTATTTCCCCTCACCCCCAAAAGTATTATTTATGTACCTGAAGTTAAAATTAAATAACCTTGAAAAGTCTAAGGCTTATCTCATATGGGAAATACTGAAGTTCTTAATCTAGGTGACCTTAAGGAAAGCCTTTCAGAATTAAGTGCTTTTTTTATTTAAGTGCTTTTAGGTGTCAGAGTATGATGCTGGAAATGGAGTTTTTCTTTTATGCTTTATTGACAATCATCTTGGAAGTAGGCAGCTCTAAACCACTAAGTTTCATGTTGTATTTTTATTTGGTGAGTTAATTTTTAAGTGAGAATATTAAGTGCTTTTATGATGAGCCTTTACTAATAGACGAATATAAAACATATCTTCTGCCCAGCTGGCGTAGCTCAGTGGTTGAACATCAAAGTATGAACTAGGAGGTCATGGTTCAATTCCCGGTCAGGGCACATGCCCGGTTGCAGGCTTGATCCCCAGTGTGGGGTGTGCAGGAGGCAGCCGATCAATGATTTTCTCTCATCATTGATTTTTCTCTCTCTCTCTCTCTCCTTCTTCCTTCCTCTCTGTTATCTATATCTATATCTATATCTATATCTATATCTATATCTATATCTATCTATATCTAACCTGTATCTATGAAAAAAACATACCTTCTTTATCTAGAGTACCTGGTTGACATGTCATAGTGAATTCATTAATCCCTCTATAGCCTAGCACTTTTCAGCATCTTTTTCCCCCCTCTATTAATTTCCACATGTTCTGACAAGGCAAATATTTTTTATCCTCATAAGCAAAACACAGTGTCAGTAATACCTGTGCTGGCTTTCAAAAATGACCTTCAAAAGTTATCTGTGGTATTTTGATACCATACAGTAGCATGTATAATTGTTATTTGATTATGCTTCCATGAGTAGTGACCTAGATAGGTAGGCTGTTTTCCTGGTAGTGAACATCTTGTCAAACTGCTTAGAAAATTTTAGACTCCTTGGTATGCTGTTTATTACATCAAAGCAGTAATTTACTGCATTGCAATAATGCCACCACACGGCTCTGCCTCGGCGTAAGTAGTCATTGCTGCCTGCCCATGGCTCACCTCCTGTATTCTTGCCATGCAGCTCAGCCACAAACCATATTAAACGAGAATCCTACTTTTTTAATAACTAAGAGAGACTCACAATCAAACCCTCTAATTTTGCAAATGAGGAAATTGAGGCCCAAATGCCTGAAGTGGCTTTTCTAAGCTGTAGGGAATCTTAGCAGGAGCTGCTAAGGACTTCAGTTCTCCGATTGCCAGTTTCTCCTGCATCTCCTTGGAATTCACTGGTAACAACAGAGGTGGGGGGGTTGCGTAGTCTTCAGGTAAGATAAGCTCATCACCGCTGATGGGATCTATCCATCTCAGAAGCTATTTATGCACGTTTCATATCTTTGCTAATTTCTCATTTTAATAATGTGCTCTTGAAATTCTTTTTATTTAACTAAAACCCTTGGTCCTTCATCCTAACCCACTCTCTTCCCTTGTTCTTTGATCTTAAAAATAATGGCCAATTAAATAGTGATCTTTTCCCTTCCTGTAAGTTAAGTGATAACTGCTTCCTTTAGGTCTTATCTTCCAACCTTCTAACCGTGCCTTTGCCTCTGCCCTCTAAAGTCTTAATTTCTTTAAAAAATTGTGAACCTAGAAATGTAAACTATGCTCGTCTAGTGAATTGGTCCAGAGTCAGTGGGCATTTTGGGGCGCCTGTGTGTAGTCATCAGATACTCTGACATGCAGTCTGTCATTTAATTCTTACAACAACCTGTGAGGTTAATAGTCTGGTTTCCATTTTACAAGACTCACAATTGTTACTTAAAGAGAAAGACCAAGATTTAAACCTCAGTCTAGTGGGTTTTCCCCCCTATTCCTTCACCATTTCCTAATATGATTTGTACCTGGGTGGCTACTGTGAACTTTGTGAGCCTATCCCAAATATTAATAAAAGGGACCCAAACGGGCCATCTAGGTTTCCTTGAATGATTTAAGTGGACAGGGCGTGGGTAGCAGGCATATATGAATAAAGACACTTACAGAGAGAACATTAAGTGCAACTTTCAAATGAAGAGCCTCTGAGCAGAGGTAAGGCTAACTGGGTTTCGTCCCAGGCCAAGAGGCTATATAGGCAGAGTGATTGTAAAACTATTTAACAGCTGGCATGGCAAGGGCCATGCAATAGAGCAGATACTGTCATACAACCTCCGTTATCCGTGTTGGTGTGTCTCAGCTGAGTGGTAACCATGGATTAAACTGCTCTCCTGGATGCCTTGAAGAATTGATGTTTAATGTCTTTCCTGAGCCCTCATTCCCCTCCCTCTTGTACGAATTATTATTTAGAATAAGTTGCCTTAACCAACATAGGCTCAGGTATTTCCTTTCTTACCTTTTTATTCTATTCTCCAAGTAAATAAACTGGAAGGAAATAAAGTGTTAGGTAGAAAAACAAGTTAGCTAATGTGGATGAAGCAATGCTTTTCCAGTTTGTATCCTGATGTTTATCTGAATGGAAAAACGTTGTTTTTTTGTTTTGTTTTCTGAAAAATCATACTAATTTTTTCTTTGCATTTTACTCACTTTTTAGGAAACAGTGTTTCTAGTTTGAAACCAATGAAAAATTCTAAAAATCTTAGGAAATTCAGGAATATGTCAAGGTAGATATAAGATAAACTTTTATTGTCCCAAATGTTGAAAATTTAATAATAATAAAAAGAGACCAAACTAGATAAACCCTGCCACTAATTATATTGAGCCCACTACAAAGAATGAAGCATTTATAAGTGAAATGTCAGTGGTAGTGAGTCTTAAAAGCATTCTGTAGTCTACTGTTTTATTCTTTAGCAAATAAGCAAACATCAGCTTTTAAAGGTTAATTTTAAAATGACAATTTTAAACCTAGCTGTTGCAAGAATTTATCCTAACGTGTGCTCTAATGAAAATTCTGTTCTGATCTTTCTCTAAGTAATTTTGTTACTGTAAGTATAATTGTTGCTTCATAAAATACTGTGTATTTTATTGTCTCTTAGTAAGCCTTATGGTTGAAATTAATGCTTCATGCTGAAGCTGGATTGTATTAACTACCTTTGTATTTTAACCAGAATTCATCAATATAATAGTTTATTTTTCTGAAGATCCAGTTTTTCATAAATGTTTACAGTAATATGAAGGCTTCGTTATGCCCTAGTTGGTGAGGTAAACAGTTGGTTTTAGGGGAATGCTTTCCTAACTCAAAATATCTCCTGTATGTTGGTGCTTGAAATTCCACCATTAGAAATGTATTCCTCGGTATTAAATATTTCCTCCACTCAGTCCATTTAGAAAATGCGGTTCCTAAGGGGGCGGGGTTTGCATATGGACATTTGCAGAGCATCTGTATTCACACAATGTACAGGCTGATGCAAACCTCCTGATTTAAACCTCACACCTCTTCTGTGCCGTGTAGGTGGTGCTGTTCCCAGGCTCCCGATGAGATGAGTAAGCTGCTGCTCACAGGTGTTAGGTAACTTGTGTGACGTCCTGTAGCCAGGACACGGCCAGGCTGAGATTTAAAGCAGGTCTCTCTCGTCGCCCTGAACTTCATCATACAGTGGAAGATGTGATTCATAGCACAGTTTTTCCCCAGATAAATTTCCCATGATAAAGAGACTTCACAGGACATGGGTGAAGACTGTGCCTCTCAGAAAGAACAGCAGATCTATCTAGAATTCCTCTCTCTCTCTCTCTCTCTCTCTCTCTCTCATATTACCAAGCCAGCACAAGCCACTCCCTCTTGCTGAGCCATTGTGATAGCATGCGTGTTTGTGCCCTGGCATCGAATATAACCCTCTAAACCGCCAAAATGATGTAAAGTGTACATTGAAATGTGTTCCTTCAGTGATTAAAGCGCTACAATAGGTTTTCACTGTATTTAGAAACTGAAACCACTGCTTAGTAAGGCCTGGGAGGACCTTGAACCCTTGGACTTGCCTGTCTCTTCTCCATCGTGTCTTGACAGCCTTCTCTCCTCTGCTGGGTCTCACGAGCTTCAGCCAGTTCCCAGGAGACACTACTTTCTTCCTGCCCAGGGCATTGAGCTTCCATCAGCCCCTAACTCTTCACATTGAGCACTTGCTGGGTCTAGTTCCTTCCCAGTTTTTATTTTTTAATATATATATATATTATATATTATATATTATATATTTTATATTATATATTATATATATATATTTATTTATTGTTGACAGTATTATAGCTGTCTCCCATTTCCCACTCTTTGCCCTCCTCTACCCAACCCCAATCTCCATCATTTACTTGTTGAGACTGTGAAGGTTACTGCATTCATGTGGTTGATTGTTGATATTTATTTCTGTGAACAAGACTGCTTAGATGACAGAGAACAGGATTACCTTTTAAAATGAATGAACTTTATTTTGTGGAGCCGTTTTAGGTTCCCAGCAAAAGTGAGTGGAAAGTACAGGTTTCCCTTATACCCCCTGTTTCCACATATGCACAGCCTCCTCCACTATGGACATTCCCTGCCAACATGGTACATTTGTTACAACCGATGAACCTACGTTGACATACCATTGTCATCAAGAGCTCACTCAGGGTGCTGTACATCCTATGGGTTTGCATCCATTTATAATGACATGGATCCACCCTTATAGTGTCACACACAATAGTTTCTCTCCCCTAACAATCATCTGTGCTCCGCCTGTTCATCTCTCATTTCCCAGGAGCTCTTGGTAACCACTGATCCTTTTATTGTCTCCATAGTTCTGACTTTTCCAGAGTGTCCAATGGTTGGGATCATACAAAATGTAGCTTTTTCGGGTTGGCTTCTTTTGCTTAGTAGTATGCATTTTAAATTTCCTTTATGTTTTTTTTTCCCCCATGGCTTCATAGCTTACTTCTTTTTATTGCTGAATAACATCCCATTGTCTGGATGTACCACAGTTTATTTATCCCTTCACCAGGTGACCATCACTTCCAAGTTTGGGCAATTATAATGAAAGCTGCTATAAATATTCATTCGCAGGTTTTTGTGTGGACAGGACATAACTTTTCAGCTCATTTAGGTAAACACCAAGGAGTGCAGTTGTTGGACCTGGTGATAAGAATATGTTTAATTTTGTAAGAAAATGACAAACTGTCTTCCAAAGTGGCTATGCCATTTCAGCAATGAAAGAAAGTCCCTGTTGCTTCACATCCTGGCCGGCTTCGGCGTTATCAGTGCTCTGGATTTTTGTCATTCCGATACGTGTACAGTGGTGTGTCCTTGTTTTCATCTGCATTTCTCTGATGACATGTGGTGCGGAGCAACTCTTCATATGCTTATTTGTCACTTGTTTATCTTTTTGGTGAAATGTCTGGTAAGGTCTTTGACTCATTTTTGAATCAGTTGTTTGTTTTCTTATCTTTGATTTTTAAGAGTTCTTTCAATATTTTGGATACTTACCGGGTATGTATTTGTGAATATTTTCTCCAAATCTGTGGCTTGTCTTTTTATTATTTTTTTTGACAGTGCCTTTGACGGAGTGGGAAATACTAATTTCAGTGAGGTCTAGCTTATCAATTCTTTTTTTTATGGATTGTTCCTTTGATATTATATCTGAAGAGTCACCACCAAACCCAAGATCATCTATATTTTCTTCTGTGTTACCTTCCAGGAGTTTTATTGTTTTGCATTTTACACTAAGGTCTGTGATCCATTTTGAGTTAATTTTTGTGATAGGTGTCAAGTCTATGTCTATATTCATTTGTTATTGGATGTCCAATTGTTGCAGCACCATTTGTTTAAAAGACTGTCTTTTCTCCATTGTATTTATTACCTTGCTCCTTTGTCAAAGATCAGTTGACTATGTTTAGGTGGGTCTGTTTCTGGGCTGCCTATTTTGTTCCATTGTGTTTGTCTATTTCTTTGTCAATAACACACTTTACAGAAAATCCTGAAGTAGGATAGTGTCAGTCCTCTAGCTTTGCTTCAACATCCTGTTAGCTATTCTGGTCTTTTGCCTCTTCAGATAAAATTTAGAATCAGTTTGTTGACATCCACAAAAATAACTTGCTGGGGTTTTTATTGTTATAGCATTGTGAATGTATAAATCAAGTTGTGAAGAACTGATATCTTGACAATATTGAGTCTTTCTATCCATGAAAATGGTCTATCTCTCCATTTATTTATCTTTGATTTCTTTCACTAGAGTTTTGAAGTTTTCCTCATATAGATCTTATATTGGACACTTTTTGTTAGATTTATACCTAAGTATTTCATTTGGGTGGGATGCTTATATAAATGGTATGTTTTTAATTTAAAATTCCACTTACTCATTGCTGGTATATATGAAAGCAATTGGCTTTTATATATTATCCTTGAATTTTACTGTTTTACTATAATCACTTATTTCGGGAGTTTTTTTGTCAATTTTGTTTTGCATATTTTACCTAGAAAATCATGCCATAATGTGTACAAAGGCAGTTTTATTTTTTCCTTCCCAATTTGTATCTTTTATTTTCTTGCCTTACTGCATTAGCTAGTAATTACAGTACAGTGTTGAAAAGCATTGGTAAAAGGGAACAGCTTGGCCTTATTCTTGATCTTGTCATGTAACTCACTACATTGTTTTGGAATTTAACTACTTATTATCAAGTTAATAGAAGCTTTCCATTATTAAATTTAAAATCCTCTGAATGAAATACCATTTTAGAATAAGGTTTGGTTCATAATAGAGACTAATTATAGGAGCCTTTTTTCTTACCCATAGGGCAAAAGTTGGATTGTTAAAAGAAGTTACGAAGATTTTCGAGTACTTGACAAGCATCTTCATCTCTGTATTTATGACCGAAGGTTCTCCCAGCTCTCAGAGCTTCCCCGTTCCGATGCCCTGAAGGACAGTCCAGAGGTAATTACTCCACCTAAATTAGCAGACATTTTTGCTTGTATACTAAATAAAAGCTTAGATTGAACACTCAGGATGATTCCTGAGATTATTTAATTGTTTCACGAATGAAAAATTAGTAATGCTGGGTAAGAAGTTTAGTAAAGTAGATTCAATGTATAATCTTATAACAAACAAACAAAAAACCTCAGATTGTACTATATAAATGAGTAGACCATTCTCCAAAGAGAATATAAAATATGGAAGCAAAAATATGGAAAGAAATTGACTTTAGCAATAATCAAATAAATGCATATTAAAACAATCCTGTTTGCCTAGTTTTGATGGCCGGCTATGTCTTTGCATCCACCTGCACACCTGCCAAGTATTCCTAGTGAAAATATAAAAGAGTGAAAGAAATATTTTTAAAGGGAAGAGATTTTTTTATGACATCAGAAATAAAAAATTGTGAGGAATGTTTGAAAGTACATGGGGTAAGACTTATGAGGGCAAAAAATATAGCATAAAATACATGGACAAGAAGACAGATAAACTAGAAATCTTATAGGTAAAAATAGCGTTACATTATGGGCTGCCTGATAACAGTTGGTCAACAATGGACAGCATATGTGACAGAGGTCCCATAAAATTATAATGGAGCTGAAATTTTCTATGGCCTAGCGACATAGCTGTCATAACATCAGAGTGCAATGCATTACTCAAATGTTTGTGGCGATACAGGTGTGAACAAACCTACTGTGCTGCCCGTCACATAAAAGAATAGCACCTACATGCCCAGCTGGCAGGTCACAGTTCGATTCCTGGTCAGGGCACATGCCCGGGTTGTAGGCTCGATCCCCAGTAGGGGGCGTGCAGGAGGCAGCCGATCAATGATTCTCTCTCATCATTGATGTTTTTGTCTTTCTTCCTCTCCCTTCCTCTTTCTGAAATCAATAAAAAGACATCCAAAAAAAATAAAAGTAAAAGTCTAGCACGTACAATTATGTACAGTACATAATACTTAATGATAAACATGTTGCTGGTTTATGTGTTTATCATAATATGCTTTTTATTGTTGTTTTATAGTGAACTCTTTTTACTTAAAAGAAAAGTTTGCTGTAAAACAGTATGCTGTGTCATCCGGCAGCAGCCTCACTCATCTCATATTTATTGTGTCTCTTGATTGCATCATTTTCTCTTGGGCTTGATTTAATCTCATGTTGTTTTGTACATAGCATGCTGTGCAGGTTTGTAACCTAGGAGCCATAGGCTGTACCGTCTAGGTTTGTGTAAGTGCACTCTATGATGAAATCGCCTAAGGATGCGTTTCTCAGAACATGTCCCCATCAGTTAAGAGGTGCATGACTTAAACAAAATAACTGAGAGGGGCAAACAGAGGGCTCTGAGGAGCATGATTATTACACTCAGAGAGAAAGTGAAGCAATCACATTCATGGAATGAGAGAAGAATTTTATAAAAATAAAATAGAGAACTTAGAAATGAACATACAGTCATTTAAATTAATTTTAGTAATAACAAACCTGAATAGCTGAACTACACACAACATTGACACAGATGAAGAGAGAATTAGTGAGCTGACAGATCGAACTTTATGAGAACACAGCCCAAAAGGAATAAAACGTAAGAGAATAGTCGGAAGACATGGAGAATAGATGGAGAACTCCCTACTTCCCTCTTATAGGGAGTAACTAAAAATTAATATAAGAAAATCCCCTAAAGCTAAAAAGGCATGTTTTCAGAGTAAATGGTCCCATTAAGTGCTGATATAATGAGGGAAAAGACACACTTCTAGAAACATGTAGTGAAACTGGAAAATGCCAAAACAAAGAGAAAACCAGAAAAGCTCCTAGAAAGCAAAACACAGATTTTCTCAAAAGAACAAGAAATCAATCAGCATTGGATTCCTCAGCGGCTGCAGTGGATGCTTGGAAACAGTACCAAACCTCATCCAAGTCCTGAGGGGAAGCCATTTCAATTCCGTAATTAATTCCAAGGCAGTTAACACGTTAGGCGCCCAGCCTGTTGTGTCTTCGGGGCGGAGAGTATAGTGTCAGTCACCGGTGACTGGCAGGGCGCTTCACGTGTTAAGGATGGAGGTAAGGTAGCAACATCATCAGTCATGTGGGAACTGGCCCTACAGCAGAGCCTCCGGAACATCTTAGGGCCACCGGTTCCTTCGTGTCATAGAAAACCTGGGCGTCTTCATCCCCATTCCCATCTCTGTCTGTGCGTTACATTTTCCTCTCTCCTACTATCTCAGAACATGGTCACCACCAGTGGGTCCCAGGTTTTTGTCTAAGTTAAGACAGCAGCCAGACTGAGCTGAAATTTTGTATCCTAAATTCCTGATTCCTACAGTCACTCTTGCTAGGCCTGTTCGTGTGGTGTCACATTCCTGGACCAGTCGGCTGGCCCTCGGTGTGGGACCATGTATGAACATGGCTGTCCTGCCGTAGTTGGGATATTACAGAGAAAGAGTTTCAGAGTAGCTGGGAGAAGCTGGGCAGGAGCCTAGTCTGTCTCTGCTATTATCGTTTACATTTTCAGCACAAAAGTAGAAAGAAAAAGCAATAAAATTAAAAGCTATAAAATAGTCTGTCCCCTGATGAGGAGGGGTTAAAAGCCAAAGTTCTGTGCAATACAGGGAATTACTATGTATGTGCCTGTAGTTCCAATTCATGGAACTGTTTCTCTGGGAAGAATCCTCTGTAACTATGGAAATGCCAAGAAATCTGTAGAGTTGCCTTTTCCCTCAAAACAACCAATTTGCAACAGTTCCTCTGACAGAGAGTAGTATCTGAGTTACCACTGAATCTTCTCTTTCCTTTCAGTCCGTCACTCAGATGCTTATGGCTTACCTGTCCCGCCTTTCAGCTATCGCTGGCAACAAGATCAACTGTGGACCTGCCCTTACTTGGATGGAGGTATTATCTAATTCACCTCTTATTAAGGTTTATTTTTAAAGTATCTACTTAAAGAAATTTAATAATAGTTTAATTTTGATAGCTATTTAAATTTTAGGAATCAAAGAAATGGTGTCTGTTCTATCTTCTAGAAGGATATAGATGTGACACATTAAATATTTTTCATCTGAAATCTTTCTTTGCTAATCCAGGCAACTAATTTTAATATTGTTTTTATGCTTAATATATTAATGTATACATTTAGAAAGGTGTGTATCTATTTTCAGTTGACTTAGCAATTGAGAATATTTTCCAGTTATTTATGAACAAGCGACAACTAACCTTTTAAAGGATCTGATTTAAGAAGAAGTCTCGAGTGCCTTCTGGAAAACTCTGTGCTTACCTTCTCACATGGCCACAAGAATGACAGCTGAATTCTAGAACAGCCGTCCTTGAGAACCACTTGAAAACTAGCTGGAAAGAATTTCCATAACTAAGGATATCTAAAAGAAGCCATGTTGAGACTGGTGGGAAGGGTGGAGATGTGGAACAGGCAGGTCCGCACCTGGGTGTGGCAGTTAAGAACTGGGAGGGATATCTCAGCTGTGCAGGTCTCCCCTTAGGAGCAAGTGGTCCCAGCCTTACACTGGACTCCCTAGCCCAGGGTATCAGGGCCTAAGACATCGAAGAAAGAAATTCAAGAAGATGCAAATATTTGGAAGCACATACTATGCTCATGGATAGGAAGAATTACCATTGTTAAAATGTCCACACTACCCAAAGCAATCTATAGATTCAAGGCAATCCCTCTCGAAATACCAATGGCACTGTCCATAGAACTAGAAAAAATAATCCTAAAACTTATATGGAACTAGAAAGACCTGGGATAGCGAAAGCAACATTGAGAGAGAATAACAAAGTTAGAGGTAATACGCTACCTGACATCAAATTATACTACGAAAGCAACATTAAGAAAGAATAACAAAGTTGGAGGTAATATGCTACCTGACATCAAATTATACTACAAGGCCATCATAATAAAAACGGCATTATTATTGGTATAAAGAGAGACACATAGATCAGTGGAATGAAATAGAGGTCCTGGAAATAAACCCATGTCTGTGTGGTCAACTAATCCATGACAAAGGAGGCAAAATATATAATGGGGTAAAGACAGTCTCTTCAATAAATGGTACAGGGAAAACTGGATAGGTACATGCAAAAAAAGAAAGAAAGAAAGGAAGGACGTCTTTCTTACACCATATGGAAGAATAAACTCAAATGGATTAAATACTTAAATGTAAGACCTAAAACCATAAAACTCATAGAAGAAAACATAGGCAGTAAACATTTTTGTCATTGCTCTTAGCAATATGTTTTTGGGTATGTGAGGGAAACGATAGAAAAAATAAATGGGTCTATATCAAACTAAAAATTTTGCACAGGGAAGGAAGTAATCAACAAAGTGAAAAGACAACCCACTGAGTGGCAAGAATATATTTGCTTACCACACAACACATTATATCCAAAATATATCAGGAATTCTACAAGTTAACCCCCCCAAAAGAAAACAACACATACAAAAAAACCGCTCTAATTAAAAAATGGGCAGAGGACCTGAATAGACATTTCTCGAAAGACAGACAATGACCAGTAGACATATGAAAAGATGCTCAACATTCCTAATCATTAGGGAAGTGGCAAATTAAAACCATGAGATATCACCTCACGCCTGTGAGAATGGCTATCATAAATAAATCAAGAAACAACAAGTGTTGGCAAGGACGTTGAGAAAAGGGAACCCCTTGTGCACTGTTGATAGAATTTTACATTGTTGCAGCCACTATGGAAAACAGTATGGAGGTTCCTTGGAAAATTAAAAATAGGACTTTGCAATTAAATTAAAAATATGACCTCGCAATTCCTAACACTAATTGGAAAAGATATATGCACCCTTATGTTCATTACAGCATTATTTATAATAGCCAAGATCTGGAAGCAACCTAAGTATCCATCGCTAGACAGATGGTATGTACACAGTGGAATGTTACTGAGCCATAAAAAGAATAAAATCTTACCCTTTGTGACAACATGGATGAACCTAGAATTATTATGGTATGTGAAATAACTCAGGCAGAGAAAGACAAATACATGAATTCGCTTACATGTAGAATCTAAAAAGCAGAATAAATAAACAAAATAGAAAAAAAAGTCTTGGGTGATACAATATCCAGTAAATATGTTAGATATTTTTTCTTAAGTTACATTATTCTTTTCCCATTGGAAACTGGAAGGCAGGATGGAAAGTACAAAGATTGCAGAACTTAGAGCCACGTCAGCTTGTATTGAGATCTTGGCTCTTTCACTATTGTCTGTGTGATCTTGGACAAATGATTTAATCTGTTGCAAGTTACATGACCTCTTTTAGCTTTAGCATCTTCATCTTTAAATAAGGAGAATGGTGATTAGAATCTTTTGGAGTGATGAGGATTAAGTTAAATCATAATGTCATATGAATAGCACAATGACTATCATACATTAAGTATTCAGTAAATGATAATACGTTTTCTTTAAAAGATTCTTTGGGTTATAGTCTCCCTAAATCAAATGGAATGTCAGAGAAACTTTTGCAAGTCTCATGTCTTTAACCATCTCATAGCACTTGTTTTTGTTGTAGATTGATAACAAGGGCAATCACCTTCTAGTCCATGAAGAATCATCCATCAACACGCCTGCTGTCGGGGCAGCCCATGTGATCAAGAGGTACACTGCTCGGGCGCCTGATGAACTGACCTTGGAGGTAAACGCCTTAAGTTGCTGCTCTGGGTTAGCTCAGCCTCATCCTTAACCGTGTTAATCATTTTTTAATGAGAAGCACCAGGTTTTTCGTACCCCATTATCGTTTCGCTTGGCATGCCATTTATGTTCACTGAAATGACTGTATTCATCTTTGAAAATTTCAACTTTAGTGTCTCCCATTTCTCTAGGCAGTCATTCCTGCTCTCCTTCCCCTACTCCATGCAAATACATCTCCACCCCAAGTGTGGATTGAATGCCATTCTGAACCATTCGCCTGGTTCATCACCGACGTGTCACTCAATTCCATTCACTCGTAACTGTTCTCCTGTTGGTCTCTGTTAGCTTCTTGCAAGCCAGGTCTCAGTCTTTTTTTCTTACTTTATGTTTTCAGTACCTCAAAAATGATACCCAGTGATACTTCTTTCTTCTCATTGTTTGTTCAAAGACTGAGCTAATGAGTGGGTGAGAAGAGAAATGAACATTTCCTGCTTTCAGATCCAAAAGGAGGGGAAGTAATTTCTTCCTTTAATATTGGCAGATGAGAGAGAAAAACCAAAATGCTAACAGTATTCAGTTTAAGGAAATTCAATATAAATTTTTACTGTATAGAATCTGAACTGTTTTCAAACTTAATTTTTAGGTTCTAAACCCAGAGCAATGTAGATCTTGAAAGATGCCAAGTCTGTTAGCAAACGTGGCTTTGTAAAGGTGACTCTTCCCTGACTTAAAATATTCATGGTGGATACACAAAGAAAAATTCCTAAAGCAACATGAGACACATTAGCAACATTGCTGTGCAGTACTTAACTTTGCTCTGTCACAGAGAGCATCACTTGCTTTGATCGAAGAATGTAACTTCCATTAAATACGTATTAAAAATGATGATTGCCATTTTATATTAATGATTTTGTAAAAGTTTCTGCAAACTCTCTAGTTTGGTTTTTGTTGTTGTTGTTGTTTTTTTAGAGTGAGGAAATAAGCTATTATACCTTCTATGGAAAGAAGTGTAGTTTTCCAAATTTTACTAAGAATAACCCAAGAATTGTACACATGTTAGGCCTGTCTTCGATGATTAAGTAAGATAATGCCAAGTGCTCAGCACAGTGCCTGGCACGTGGCAAGCGCTCACTCACTGTGTATTAACAGAAGCTGCTGTTGCTCTAACTATGAGAATATCTGCCTTTTATAAGTGAATTTGGTCACTTTCAGTAACAGCAGTAAGAGAGGATTGTAACAGCTGATGGGGTGATGCCTAAGCCTTCAAAAATCTTACACCATCAAGCTGGCTTCCTGCAGTCACTGCTCCGGTGATGCCTGATCCCAGTCTTCGTGCTGCGTTACTTTTTGTAGCCCTCTCCTTAACAGATGGTTAAAATTATTATTAAATTCTTTACAGAAAGAGGTAGTATGGTTTTTCAGAAAAATTAGCCAGAGAGGAAGATAGTGCTTTTACCCTTGTGTTCCAGTTCAGGTTAAATTCGAGACCTAACAGTTGGTTTAAAATTTGACTGAACTCATTTCCCTTACGTTTTATTCTCCTAGGTGGGCGACATCGTTTCTGTGATCGACATGCCCCCGAAAGTGTTGAGCACGTGGTGGAGAGGCAAGCACGGGTTTCAGGTAGGCAGTGGAGAGTCGGGTGTGGAAAAGGCGAAAGAGCAGTTTTTCTTGGTTCTTCGGTAATATTTTGTTTGGTTTACAGCGTGTATTGGCAATAGACTTTACCGTCAGAATTCTGCGTGCAGGGGTAGAAAAATGTAGCTGATGCTAGACCTGGGTTTTCTTTTCCAGTTACTAATGTGGTTATTTTTACTGCCTCCTCCTTTCCCAAATGGTGATATAGCCGAAGTGCGAGCAGAATCCCAGGCCTGATGATCACTTTGCGAGTATCAGGCCTGTGACTCTACATTGCTTCTAATATTGGTTTTAAATCATGGTTTCCATATATTTTCTCTCTGGAATTAAGTCAGTTTGTCAATTTTTTTCTTTAAAATGCATTTATAACTGTTATGTAAACAGTGTATTAATAGCAGAATAACAACAGAATCTAAAGTGGTCTCATTTCTTCTTCCACATGTGGCTAAATAACGTTAGACCTGATAATGACATCATGTAGGCTCACCAGCACTAATTCCCATAGTCTACATAGGGTTTCTTTTAATCTTTTAAAACGGTCACTGGAAGCACATCTAAAAATGCCTTAAGATTGCATTCTTAATATGTTACCTCTGCTTTTTGTGATCTGTTTATAAAAATCTTAAAATATTGCATAAATAAAATACTGCTAAATAGTTGAAAATATTAATAACCATTATAAATATTGATCTCTACATATTAAATAAAACTAATTACGGCTTTTAAAAAATGTATTGTATTAAAAAATAATCATATGGTGGTTAAGAGCATGGGCTCCGCTGCCAGATTTCTTGGGCTTTACTCCTGTGTTACCTTGAGCAAGTTGTTTAACTTCTCTGCGCCTCAGTTTCTTTATTTGTAAAGTGGGGATTGTAGGACCTTTCTGTATCTTATAAGGTTATTGTAGAGATTAAATGTGTGAGGATAAAACATGTAAAATACTTAGATCAGGCCCAGTGCATATTTTTCACTCAATAAATGTTGATTTTTAAATTTAAATAAATTTGTTCTTTATTTTACAAATTTAAATTTATGTATCCCTTTATCTATTATAAAGATACCTATAGCAATTTATTAATTATTAAGACCAGAAAAATTATACCCATATCACCCCACAAATCATTTATTTGTATATTGGGGTCTCCCTTCATCTGTGCTCTGATTTCTAGATTGCTAGGAATAATTGGTACCTTTGATTGAATATAAAGGTACATAGAAGGCTGGGGTTATCTTTTTTTTCTATTAAGGGATCAGTTCTCCATGTTCATGGAAATGAGTTATAAACTTTAGGATCTCAGAGATGATAAAAAGTATATTTGGCTTTAAAATGACAGTTACTTCTTGGCCTAGATACTGTTACCTTTCTTATAATCTTAGATAAGTCACTTGCTTTCTAGAAGCATTCTAAGTGGAACTCTCTAATTAAGAAGAAATTAAAGTTTAAAACATTTCAGTTCTTTGACTGTAAAAATATTAGCAGGTGTTTCCTTCTTTCATGTAACAAACATGTATGAAGTAGTGAGTCTATGCTAGGTACAGATTTATCTCCCTAACTCTTTTATTTAGAGTCACACAAATTAGTTTATTGCCTAAACAAACTAAGTTTTTAAAAAAGAAATTAGAATAAAATAACTCGTTAAAAATTAGTTTATTGCCAAAACAAATTATTTAAAATAAATACAGGGGTTTTTTAAGCTTTAAGAATTGATTTGTAATTGATAACCAACGGTGTTTTTTAATATTACAAATGCTGTTTTTTCATCCTGATTAGTCTTGGAAAGGGGAGTCTTACCTGTTTAGATCATGTTGGAATATGCCTGTGATTTGGGTTGTGGAGCACCCATAAAACCAGGGACAGGTCTTAAATGTCAAAACTTCATTTAAAAAAGGAATCTAGTACTTTAAGGAACAAATCCACTCTTCCTTGCTGTCCCTAAACAGTAGTCCACTTGTAAGTGCATCTTATTATGGTTTATTGCAGGGGGGTGTGCCTGGGAAGACACGTGTTAAAGCATCGGTTATGTGCAAAGTATTGCGCGGGTCTTCATACACGTTTTCTTTAATCTTTGAAAAACTTCATGGCAGTTGCTATCCCCCATTTTATGGAGAGGATACAATTTTGAGAGGATTATTAAGCATCCATGATGCCAGATCAGTAAGTAAGTGATGGAGGACCTTTTTCTGCCAAGGGCCACTTGGATATTTATAACATCATTTGCGGGCCATACAAAATTATCAGCTTAAAAATTAGCCTACTATATTTGGTCAAACATTTAATTAACTCACCCCTAATGCCTTGGCAGGGCCAGACCAAATGATTTTATGGGCCTTATACAGCCCATGGGCCAGATGTTCCCCACCTCTGGACTAGGGACTCAAATCGGGGCTGCTTAGTCGCATCGCCTGAAGAGCATTGAGCATGATTTCTACATCAACTCTCCTGTTGTTGATCTTCTCCACCTCACTTTCCTGCTCTAGAGAAGAAACATCTTTTCTTTGCAGCCAACAGGAATGTTACAAAGATTAAGCAACTGTGGGCTGCAAAACATTCAGGTTGCTGGTGGAAACTTTGCTGTTACCAGGGGTTACATTTTTACATGATGACTAGTATCTGGAAAAACTCCTCTTCAGGTTACTTGTGACAGTGTTGACTCTTGTTAGGTAAAATTGTGAGCATATGCTGATCTCCTCTCAGATATTCTGTTGAGAGAGGGAGATAATCGTAATTTACTCCACGTACAGTGTCAGTCCTCACTTCCCATGGTCAGTCGGTTCTGAGACTTTAATCGAAACCATATAATAAAGCTTGTTTGACCACAGGCTAACTGATAGAAACAGTTATGTTCCTACGGCATCTCATCAACGTTATAACGAGATGAAATGACATTGAATGAAGCCATGTTATTCCAGGTCCTCTGTATATGATAATTATAGATCAGATCCCTTTACTATCCTGAGTTTTAAGTTTGAAATAACTGGAATAATGGCTTAGTCCACTGGTTTTCATAATAAAAAACAAAACAAAACACAACAGAGGAACTTTTAATCCAACAGAACTTACATTGAACCTCACTGTGAGAACATGTAAAGGGGGAGCTGCCCTGGTTAGTTTGGTCAGGCACCCTGGGCCTCATGCCCCATGGAACATGCCTGGTTGACCTCTCTTAGACCTCCTTCGTGGAGTGTGTACAGGTAACACTGCTGGAAAACCACTAGTTTACCTGGTAGGTTACTAGTACTCCTTATTTTTTTGCAGTGGATATATTATATCAAAGGCTATTTTATAATTTGGACTTTTAAAAGCCAGTTAAGCCCAGCCTGTGTGGTGAAGTGGTTGAGCATCTAGCCATGCACCAAGAGAATCGACCCATGCACCAAGAGGTAGACAGTTTGATTCCCAGTCAGGGAACGTGCCAGAGTTTCAGGTTGCGGCCTTCATCCCCCGTTGGGTCCTTGCAGGAGGCAGTCAATCAATGTTTCTTGCTCGTTGGTGTTTCTATCTATATCTCTAAAAATCAATACAAGCATTGCTTTTTAAAAAGCCAGTTAAAGGTTTCTCTCTATTCTCATTACAGCAGTCCCTTTAACATTTCTTGCAATTCTGGCTTGGTGGTGATAAACTCCTTTAGCCTTTTTTTTTTGGTCTGCAAAGCTCTTTATTTCACCACCTATTTTGAATGATAGCCTTGCTGGATATAGTAATATTGGTTTCAAATCCTTGCTTTTCATTACCTTGAGTACTTCTTGCTATTCTCTTCTGGCCTATAGAGTTTCTGATGAGAAATCAGTTGACAGCCTTATGGGAGCTCCTTTGTAGGAAACAAATTGCTTTTCTCTTGCTGACTTTAAGATTCTCTCTTTGTCTTTAATTTTTGGCGTTTTTATTATGATATGTCTGGGCATGGGCCTGTTTGGGTTCTTCTTGCTTGGGAATTTCTGTGCTTCCCGAACTTGGGTGACTTTTTCCTTCACCAGGTTAGGGAGTTTTCTGCCATTATTTCTTCAAACATGTTCGCTATCCCTTGCTCACTTTCTTCCTCTTCTGTCACACCTATTATGAGAATATTGTTACGTTTCATGTTGTCTCACAGCTCCCTTAAGCTGTTCTTCTGTTTTTTGATAGTTTTTTTTTTTCTTTTTGGTTCTTTGATTGAGTGATTTTTTTCAACCTTGTCTTCTAATTTACTGATTTGATTCTCAGCTTCCCCTAATCTTCTGTGTATTCTTTCCAATGTGTTCTTAGTGCTGTGTCATTCTTTATTTCTGACTGTTCTTTTTTTCATAGTTACTGTATGTTTTCTCATGCTGTTGAGCATCTTTACCATCATTATTCAGAACACTATGTCAGATAAACTTCTTATCTCCATTTCATTCATCTCTTCTTCTGGAGAATTATCTTGTTCTTTGATTTGGGGGTTGTTTTTTGGTCTCCCCATTTTGGATGCCTGTTTGGGTTGGTGACTATGTAATAGGTAGATCTGCTATGCCTCCCAATCTCTAGTGAAAGACAGTTAGCTGTTTCTGACTAATTAGATCTGGTAAAGACTCAAAGCCTCCAGAGATCTGCCTCTGCCTGCAGACTGATTGGATTTAGTCTTCCCTGAGGCAGTCATCCACAGGTGTAACCAGAGGTTTCCCAATAAGGTGGGTCAACTGTCTTCCTCCCATGCAAAAACCTCCTGGATAGCAAAGGTCTGCCTGGAAAGATGACCTCCGCAGTGTGAGGGAATGACTCAGCACAGGAAACTGGGGTGCCTACCTTACTAGATCTAAACCTAGAGCCCCAACCCTGGCTTCTGTTCACATATCTCCAGTCACAGCCCAAGGTGTGTCTGCACACGAAATTTTGTGTGTTGGCCCTTTGAGAGGGTGACTGCATATCCAGCCATCTATCCCTGACAGATAATAACCCTGCAGCTTTTGATAGCCAGATGTTATGTGGCACCTTTCTCAGTTCTGGTGCTCTCTGCTTGGGGGCCCGGCTT